GAGAGAGAGAGAGAGAGAGAGAGAGAGAGAGAGAGAGAGAGAGAGAGAGATTAACATGGGCTGTGCATAGCTTTCAGCAGCAGATCATTAAGAACTTGCTTAGATAACAAGATGTCTGGAAGTTTTCTTAATGTTTCTTAATGTTTTCTTAATGTGTCTTAATGTTTTTCCTTTTTCTGTGGGATCTGACAGAGAACTAGCAGGGACTGTGACATGCTGTGACTTCAGGGTATGCTAGATGTGTTTGTCCAAATTCTCAGAGGGCCTCACATGGGAGAATGTTCAGATGTGTGAAATATATAAAATGTAGTCTTGTTTTCTAGGTAACTGAACACCACTTACTTATTGTCTTGCTCAACCCCCTTTGATGTGAAGGTCTGAGATGCTTCACATACCATTAAATCACATGTTTTGAAGCACTGAAGCAAATGTTAAATATTTTTTTCCTAGGTTTAACATCACGATCTAAAAAGTGGTTCTTCAGAGTTATACGAAAACTGCCCATGATTGGTGATTTGGTAAGTTTTTTAAGCAATCAGATATTTACCAAGTCAGTTTTGTACCAGGAAAATTGTGCTTATTTTTGCTCTCTATTGCTTGCATTTGTGCCTATCGATGTTAAATGAGTCAAATAACAATGATAAAAATATACAAATTCAGTTGACATTCCATGTTAGTAGTGTCTGCACATGTTAAATGTTAAACTTGTAGTCACTTTAAAACACAGTGAATGCATTAGCACAAAGTGAACGACTAAATGCACTAGCATTTTCTTGGCAGTATCTTTCAGAAGTCTTCCTTAAAATATAAATGGAACATGGTTATTGAATGACTGTATCTGCAAATATAAGAAGCCTGGTTTGCCTTCTTTGGTAAAGAGTTCAGAGGATCACAGAAAACGCTTTGCTCCCTTTCAGAAGGCGGCAGAGGAGGGACTAATGAGCAAGATATTTGCATCTAGTGCTAGCATCTGCAGAGGCTCATGTGGGAACCTTCCAAAGGGGCATTTCAGAAGACATATACAAAAACAGTTTCTTATATTATAAAGTGTAGTTGTGATCTTTCTTGGCTAATGACTGTATAGTATTTTGAATGCTTAATTTTGAGCACGTAAGAGAAAAGTGTTGCAGAGTGTACAATGCACTATTGTTCTGAGGAAACACAATCTGATGGGAAAGTGGACAACCTGGTTGGAGTCTTGCACAAATATATTCAAGGTGCCTTGATTCTCAGTACAGACTCTGCTTGTTTTGGAGGACTTGGATGCAAGCAACAAGGGGGAGGAGGTTTTAAATAACCACATTTGCTCTACTCTGGTGACCTTCCACAATGTAAACCCAGTGCTTGGGTCCAGTGACAGTGTCCTGGGCATTCCTAAGCAGAGGCAGAAAGTCAAATGGGATTTGACAAAGCAGTCACAAAGTTGGATGATGCAGTGATGTCTATGGCATAACTTGTGGTGAAATCAGTGACTGTCAAACTATTTTTTGCATGTTCTATATGGGAAAGGGTGATCTCTGTTAAACTTTGCAAGAGTGACAAAATCTTTCATTGCCTTAGTCACTATGGACCAGTAGAAGCATTTAGTAACTCAAGACCGAGCTCTTGAGTTTTGGGGGACCACCACTTGCTGCTGTGGAGTCCATTCTGCAAATTCTCAATAACATACACCTGGGTCCCACACACAGTAAGCTAGAATCATAGTGGCTCAGCCTCTCAGTTGCTGTCTTCAACATCCGCCTCTTCCAGCTCCCAGCAAAAGGCATCATACTTAATCTGGAGCCATGGTCCCATGTCTCCTATGCCAGCTTGATGGAAATTAGGTCTGCAGTTGTAGTTGTGCCTGCCAAGGCTGCTTAACTGGATGGAGCCTAAAGGATCTGGGACCAGACCTGACCTAGCCAGCATCTTTCTGGACTAGCAAAATGTAAAACAACAGCAACAATAGAAATGAAGTGTTCCAAGCCTACTGGGATCACTTCCTCAAACCCCACCTTGATCAAAGCATTTACTATTCTAGTTCAGCATCAGTATCTTATCTTGCTATCACCACCAAATGAAGAAATGGGGGGTGGGTTGCCCAAATGCTCTGCAGTGTAGGCAGAGACAGACTGTTACTTGGGAGATTATCAGAACCCTGCAGATCTGCCTCAGCCTGAGCTAGGTAGTAACTCCCAGACCTTTTACGGCATTCTTAGGGTGCTAAAATAAGAGTTGAAACCAGCACCTTCTGTCTCAAGTCCTGAGTCTGAAACTTGACGCAGTAGCAATCAAACAAGCAGAAGCACGGAGATTTATTTTGTAGAGATGAAGTTCATTTGTTTAGAGAAAGGGTTAAAAAGATGTACGAGAATCAGAGAAAACCCCCTTGGATTGATGCTCTGGCCAAACCAAACCAAACCAACAAAAATCCAACAGAAAGAAAGAAAGCAATGCCTAAACCTATCCTATTCATCACCTAAGTGTGTGAGTCTCATAATAGGAAACCCAGTGGTTTATTATTGGGATATATTGTGTGACAACTTACTACTTGTTGCTGCATAGAGACACCCTGAATTTGCTTGGTGTTTGCAGGTCTGTCCACCAAATATCCAGATTTTAAACTTGATAAAGATACTGTAAACATTAGAGTCTCAATATTGATGTTATGGCTTGACGTTATGGCATGTTATGGCATAAGGATTCCTTGTGTTTCCCAGAAATCCTTATGATCAGGAAAAAAATACTAATGTGTGTGTGTGCATGTATGTGTGCGCATGTACGCATATGCATGCACATTTCTCCCCTTTTGTAGATTAAAAAACAGATGAACAAGACTACAGAGGATATGGCTTCCAGCTTGTCATTCTTGCAAGACAAAAGGGGTTATGTTAAAGCCCTACCGACCAAAGGCATGACTCAACCAGAAGTGATAAAAAAGCTGAAAGAATACAGCTCTATGGGTATGGCTTGGAGTGTACAATGGCACGTGATTGTAGTCAAAGTGCGTGGGAGAAACTGGTGATGTTAACTGGGAAATGACAGCAAATGACTTTAAGTTACCCCTACCATTGTTTCAGAATGAATAAAACTGTTAACACTCTGGGACTCCTTCTAGCTTGGTTCCAAGGACAGAAGGATGGTAGACATAGAGCAAAACAAAACAAAGATGCTTGCTGTCCTTGCAAGGAAGCAGACAATTACATGGGTAAAATAAATTAAGCAGATGATTCAGGTGCAGTCCCTCCCTGGCTGGGGCATGCTGGAGGATTTAAGCCCTGAATAGGATGGTGCCTTTAAAGAGCTTTGGCATTTATTTATTTATACCATAAATTGAATTGAATTGAATCGACTGTAATGATCTATATGTATTCAGAAGGCAGCAGAATGGCAATCTGGCCTATCTTTGCCAAGCAGGATAAGGTGGCCAAGATACTGCAGTTTCCATTTGCCAAGTGTTTTTAAATATGCCTAATGCCAGCATGTTTTGTCTCTGTCTTCAGGTGAAGTGCGCTGGGAAGATGGCAAAGTGTCTGGAACTGTGTACAGTGGGGAAGAGAAACTCACTGACCTCTTTATTAAGGTAGTGCAGCATAGCGATGGCGGTTTACAGTGCATTCAGTGAAGAATGATCGAAAACAACAGTATAAAGCATCTTAAACAAAAGGACGGGGCGTGTGCATGTGTCCCCTCCCTGTGTGTTGATCTGAAAATGAATGCAGATTTCAGGGGAACAAAAGAGGAATTGGTGAAATGAGAAATAAAATTGGTTTCCACAAGACGTGATTGCCTGGCAAGTAGCTGTAGATAAGGGATGGGCAACCGGATGCCCACCAAAATGCAGTATACAGGGGGTGACAAAAAGTGTATACACATTTTAAGAGAGATTATCGACATACTGCTTTTCAAGCTGAATTGAATTACGGTAGCAATGTGCAGTATGATGTTTGCTCAAAAGATGGTGTTAATCAAATGAATGCTAGCATCACCATGCAACCATTTTAATACAGTTTTTTTCCCTTTCTTAAAATGTGTGTACATTTTTGGCACCCTCTGTGTTTCGTTTGCATTGTATATAAGGTTTATTTTAACAATGTTTAATATTTTCTTAGTGGCATCTGGGGTTACTTTAAACTGAAATGGGACTCTCTAGCTGCTGCCTTCTTAATTGCCTTTGGACAGGCCGCTTGTCCCTTGCAACTAGCGAGGCTCGTCCATGGCTGCCTGTTTAGTGCTGCACCCATGGAAGGTCCTTACATTTATTTCCAAGTGTGCTCACAGGCCCCAGAGGTGGACTAATTCTGTTGTGGATGTTCAGGAACAGGTAGGATTGGATACTTTTCACTCAGCTAGTGAAGTGGCATATAGGAATGAACACTTGAGTCTGGTTATATGAGTCACTGATGTTTTCACTGAGAACTATTTCAATTGGATGCTGTAGAAAACCTGCTGGCCCAGTCTGAGGTTTCTGTGAGAGACCTAGCTGTGCCACCTGCTGCCCAACTAGTTTTCAGGCTAGAAGTATTGATATTTATCCTGCCCTTTATTCAGGGCGCGCAAGGCAGTGCACATGGTGTTTCCTCAACACCCAAGTTTTGTCCTCCAGCAACCGTATGAGCTGCTTTCGGCTGAGGGAGTGATTGGCCCAGAGTCGCCCAGTGAACTTCATGGAAATTCCCAGTGGGAATTTGAACACAGGTTGCTCCAGTCTCAGTTGAGCACTTTCACCAGACCACCACACTGGGTTTTAGGGCCAAATGGAAAGGGCCAAAAGTGTGCATATGTGGCCATTTCGGAACCCTACAGAACATATGTAAATTGGAAGTGGCTTTCACATGATCTGGAAAATTGTGGATTAATCTGGGGGGTAATGATTCATTGCTCTTACATGCAAATAGGCCCACTGTGTGTTTTCATTGTGGCTTGTGGATTAGTGACTTCTGACTTTTCAAATCCCAGTTGAAAATTCCCATTTTAAATTTGGTTCCTCACACTGAGGAACCCTTTTGTTTTTCATTTCATTTTCATTGTGTTTGTTACATTTTAGATTGCTCAATAGCCAAAACACTCCAGACTTTGGGTGGTTAACAAAGACCAAGACCCATAAAAATCTACACCCAACATTTAAATACACAGGCAAACACACACATGTTATATAAAAACAATGATTAACCACCAGCAGTAATTAGGACTTGTTTGCTTATCCATAAATAACCATGAACAAAAGGCTATTTTTAAATGTCCTTACTCTGCACAGGTGGTTCTTTGACTAGTCTCTCTTAAACAGCACTTGGTTGTTTTATTTAATCTAGGAGGAACTGAGAATAGTAACAGCTTGAATAATAAATAGCACGTGTTGTTTCATAATAAACTAGTAGTGGCAAGACTGTGTAACAAAAAGTCCCATATAAATTTTAGGGTGGTTGTTTATTAGCTTTCTGTAGAAACTCTTGGAGTATCTACAGTTGTGTTTGTGCATGTGTGAGATGACTCAAGTTTCTCACAGATTGTCAGATGTTACTTTTCCATTTACAAACTACTCTGTACTGACCAGATTCCGATCCCAGTTTGTGATCAGGAAGTCTCCAAATTGGCCAAGTTCCTATTTGTGAGGAAGAATTCCTTTGAAAATATGCAGCAAGGCATTAACCACTGCTTGAGGAGACTCAATTGAAAAATAGTTGGAGAAATAGGTTACTTGTCTGGGAGAAGTTGTAGATTCCACATGATCAACTTAGAGAATGGACAGCGCAAGCAGAGGGTAGTTTTAGCACCTCTGGAGGTCTCACTGGGCCAGGTTGTGCCTTTGAACCTGTCTTGACTCTCTGGCCTTATGCTGTTCCTTGCTCAGTAGGCCAGAAGGAAAAGCTAGTGCTCTTGCGGTGCACATGCAACAGGAGTGGGTAACTTGTGGCCTTCCAGACGTTTTGGCCTACAGCTCCCAGCAGCCCTTGCCAGCATGGCCCAGTGGTAAGGAATCATGGAAGTTGTAGGCCAAACAATCTGGAGGGCCACAAGTTGCCTGCCCTGTCATACAGGACAATGGTGCTTTGGAGTGGCACTGTTCATTTGGACATTTTCCAAAATGTTTGGCTGCTGAGGGGGTAGACCAAGCATAACTTCCACTGTAAAATGGCTAGGAGAAGTTGCATTTATGGTCATTGTCTGGGAACAGTTAGAGAACAAAGGTTAAGATGCAATCATTGTCTAGCATTTCTGTGACCAGTGCAGCATGTGCAGCTGCTTATATAAAGGTTCAATTTTATTATGCACCCACCTATTTATTTTAGGTTGCTCTTCTGCCTAAAGTTAAAAACATAAAAACAGAGTTTGTGCGACTGTTCTTCAGTTTTAAACTTTTAATACTTGCAGATCCAGTTTGAATTTCAACTTGGCTAAAAATATTTATTTTATTTATTTATTTAAACAACTTATGTGCCGCCCCATCGCATGAGCCTCGGGGCAGCTTACAATCATAAAATCCCGCATAAACTATATACAAAAATAATCAAATAATTAAAATACATAAAATAAAATATTGGACACAGCCTGGTCAATTTAAAATCAACAAATAAATCATTAACAGTTAAAATAGTGTTTAAATAAAAAGGTCTTGGTCTGACGTCGAAAAACAAATAAGGACGGTGCCAGGCGGACCTCTCTGGGGAGCACATTCCATAGGTTGGGTGCCACTGCAGAGAAAGCCCTCCTCTGGGTACTCACTCTCCCAATATCCTTTACGGAGGGTTCCCGGAGAAGGGCCTCTGCCGCCGATTTTAGGGGGCGGGAGGGCATATATGGATGCAGGTGCTCCTTTAGGTAACCAGGGCCTAAGCCATTCAGGGCTTTGTAGGTGATAACCAGCACCTTGAATTGGGCCCAGACTTCAATGGGGAGCCAGTGGAGCTGATGGAGGACTGGGGTTATATGAGAACAACACCCAGTCCCCGTCAGCAGCCTGGCAGCTCTATTTTGCACCAATTGAAGTATCCGGACCATCTTCAAGGGCAGCCCCACGTAGAGCGCATTGCAGAAGTCTAATTGGGAAGTGACCAATGCATTTGTCACTGTTGCCAGGCAGTCGTTCTCCAGGTAGGGACGCAGCTGATGGATCAGCCAAAGCTGAAGGAAAGTGCTCCTCGCCACCGCTTTCACTTGAGCTTCTAACAATAGCTCTGGGTCGAGGAGCACTCCCAAGCTGCGGACCCTGTCCTTAAGAGGGAGTGCAACCCCATTCAGGACAAGGTCAAAGTCCCCCATCCCAAAGCCCGATCCACCTACCAACAGGACCTCCGTCTTGTCTGGATTGAGCTTCAGTTTATTGGCCCTCATCCAGCCCTTTACCTCGACCAGGCACCGGTTCAGTACAGCCGCTGCCTCACCTGGATTGGTAGAGAATGAGAGGTAGAGCTGGGTTTCATCAGTGTACTGATGATTCCGCAGCCCACACCTCCTGATGACCTCTCCCAGCGGTTTCATGTAGATGTTAAATAGCAAAGGGGACGAAATGGATCCCTGCGGTACTCCATGGCATAGCTGCCATGGTGCAGAGCCATAGTCCCCCAGCACCACCTTCTGGAATCGGCCATTGAGATAGGAGTGGAACCACTGCAAAGCAGTGCCCCCAACTCCCAATCCCGCCAGCCTATCCAGGAGAATACCATGGTCGATGGTATCGAAAGCCGCTGAGAGGGCCAGGAGAACCAACAGAGACGCACTCCCCCTGTCTTTCTCCCTGCACAGGTCATCGTGCAGGGCAACCAAGGCAGATTCAGTACCATACCCGGGTCTGAAGCTGGACTGAAATGGGTCCAGATAATCAGTCTCGTCCAAGAGTGCTTGGAGTTGTCCTGCCACCACCCATTCCAACACCTTGCCCAGAAACGGGATGTTGGCTACCGGTCTATAATTGGTGGCCATCTCTGGATCCAGGGAAGCCTTCTTTAGGACAGGCCGGACTACCACCTCCTTTAAAGGGGCAGGTACCTGGCCATCCCTTAGGCTTTGACAACCTCCAGGATCCAGGTCTCTATCCCGTCTTTGGCTGTCTTGAGTAGCCAAGATGGGCAAGGGTCCAATAAGCAGGTGGTGGAATGTACTTGTCCAAGCACCTTGTCCACATCATCAGGCCGCAATAACCAAAATTCATCCATCAATTGTGAACCAGATGGCAAAATAACATTATTAATATGCCGTATAAAGAAAAGTTGAATTCTGAGACCAATCTAAATTATGTAGATTGAGCCAGTTTGGATTGCAGCTTGCTTTATCCTGCTGTTCTTACCACTTCCCATTTTTATCCTAGTTCATCTCATCTTGGGGAGTCCTGAAGCCATTCGAAATGTTAATTTTTCCTCTTCCTTCCGGCTTCTGACATCAGCCTGCATTGCCCAAACATTTGCGAGCAAACTTTTGCAAGTGATGAATTGGGGTGGCCGTTTCAGGCTTGTTTGTGTTTAGGAGACTGAACTGGTTCTTCCAATTTGGAGAGGCCCTTACTGGAGGGATAGCAGATATGCACCTGTCTTTTCCTGTTATATTCTTTCAAAGGGAAGGAAAGAATCTGTCTCAATTCCTCAAGCTACTCCTATATTTAAATGAAAAGGTGCAATGGTCAGAGCTAGTCTGCTGTCTATTACTAGAGGCAAGCTGGAAATGTGAAAATATGGCGGCAGAGAGTTCTTGCTTTGGCCACCAGCGTTTTCTTTGAAGAGGGGCGGGGTGGACAGAGGAAAGGAAGGCCTTGCAGCTGCTGAATTTTAAAAGCAGTTTCAATTGTGTGTGTGTATGTGCTGGAAAGCAAAGCTTCGTTACTAATATCATTCTGTCAAGGGCCCTTCTAAATCAGCGTGGGCCCCTCTCCCATTGACCCTCCTTATTCTAGGGGAACCAAAACTGGGTGAGAGGCACCCCCTTTGCTTTGTAGTTGTGAAGGCCAGAAGTGTGTGTGTGTGTGCATGCACATACACACTTAAAGGAAAGCTGGATTCTCTTTGCTCGTGTGGAATTGTAGCAGTTGCACCTCTCTCTGGCCTCATGTTTGTTTGTATTTGGCTTTTGGTCAGCAACTTCAGATGAGGGTTGTACTTTCTTCAAAGGTATACATGCATGAGAATTAAGTAAGAGGAAATGACAGTGAGATTTGTGTGTGCACATGTGTGTTTGTGTAAAAATGAGGTGTGGGCAGGAACTGTACTCATGCTTTATCTTACCGTTGTATTTTCCTTGCTTTCTGTGTTGTTCCCTCACAGTTGAACCTGGTGGGGAACATGATCTCCTTTCCACTTCTTAGTATGTCTGAATGTAGCATTGGAAGCCTACACACGGTCAAGTTCTCCTCATTATTTAAGCATTCTGGTCATACTCGAGCAAGGATGGAGCTTCGTAATTGGATGTATAAAAGACATGCTAGGAGGACGGAGATGGAGGAACATGCTTGCCAAGCAGTTGCTCGGCTTTCCCCAACCAGGCGTCCTCCAGGTGTGTTGACTACAACTCCCATAATCCCCTAGCAAGCATAGCTGGAGTTGTAGTCCAGCACATCTGGAGTGCATCCAGTTTGAGGAATGCTGCTCCAGCTTGTTCTTGAATTTGTTTGTTCCCTATAGAGGAGAAGGGTGCGCAAACATGGGGTGGATGTTCTTATTAAGGACCCAAACAAAGCCAGTAAAATATTTCTTATTTCTAGGTGCCTGGGATTTTCCCTTTCCCATCTCAAAGTATGGCATAACTGCCGTCCAATAAAACCTTCTTAAGCACTATGGAGAAAAGGCTTTCTCTTGAAAAGCTGGTGAGCTGGCATGTGGTTCTTACTTGTTTTCTTCACCAGCCCTTTCTCATCTCCATGCCCCCCCTCCCCCCACATCATCAGGGTTGTCGTTCTTTTGGGTGGTTTTGTGCTATTCTTTCCCCACCCTCATTTTCGGTGCCAGCCTTCAACACTTCTGTGTGTTCACATATTTTTTTCAACGCTGAATTTTATTTGCAAGATGCAAATCACTGTGCTTGTAAACTTCGAAACCATGTTCAGTTAAGTCTCAGTACTAAGCTTTTTCACTCTCTAATGCTTGCTCAAAGCAATTTTAACTTTATGATTAGGATCCAATAGTCTACCGATTTGTGTCACTGTTTTTAAAAAGAGTTACTGCATAGTCACTGCTATTTAAAGTCAAAAATATGGAATTGTATTATTAAGTTTGCACCCTTTCTTAATCTGCTGCCTTGTCCCTAGCTCTTGCCAGCGCAGCAATTCGAAAGCATGCAATGCGAGTAGATAAATAGGTACCACTTTGGTGTGGAGGAAACAGCACCCTGTGACATCATGCTGGCCACATGACCATGGGAATGTCTTCAGACTGCCCTGGCTCATGGACTTAGAAACGGAGTTGAGTGCTGCCCCCCTATAGCTGTTTGGCTAGCTGATTAAAATCTGCAGGGACTCCTTTCCTTCTTTCCTTAATCAAGGGGTGCAGCTGTTGAGAGATAGTATCTGAGGCCTGCAGTGACCCCTAGTGTAAATCCCCCATGGGTCATGGTCCTCCACTCCCCCACTCACTTTTTCTTAAAGCCTCCTCTAACAAGCTGACTAGTTAGCAAACAATACTGAATAGTTACACCCTTTGCATATTAAATACAGTATTAATGTAAATTAGTGGGTGTCATGTAAATTGGGGTTATTTACTATACATTGGGCATATACTAGTGTGTGTTGATCATACAGAATTTTCTTTTGCATTCATTTTAATTGGAGCCAAAGTTACCCCACTGTCCATATAGTAAAACTCCAACTTTTAAAACAAGTAAAGAAAAATGGGGGCTGTGGACGATGATATACTGGAGCAGAATTAGCCCCCTTTCTGTAGGAGGATATATAAGCTAGAAAGTGGCACAGGAAAGGGAATCGGGACCTATTTTATACCTCTCTGAGGCAGCTGTGACCCCAAATAGGTAAGATGGTTAAAACAACAATCCCTGTATCTAGAAAAGTGATGGGGAACTTCTGGATCTCACCAGACTGCAACTCCCGTTATAGTTCAAGGTCAAATATGATAGGCGTTGTAGTCCAACAGTAGTATCTGGACAGTCACAAGTTCCCCGCTCCTGATCTAGAATAATGAAGTATTATTTTGGTGTTGCGTTGGTATATGGACCATGGTAAGTTCTAGAAAATAATATGTGAGGGTGTGATCATGACAGAAGAAGATGAAATTAGCATCAAATGTAATTGCAGTGTTAAGCGCTTAATGGCATCTTACATGAAAAAACATGTAACAAAACCTTGAGAGATTTAAAAGAGGAATAAAGAGAGTAGTTTTGGGAAAAGGCTGTTTAGAGCAAGGAAAGGTTGTGTTAAATCATCCCCTCCCCCGCCCCACCCGCATCCCATGGAATCTCACAGATGCTTTCCAGAGTCAACATATATTTGACACTCAGCGTGTGGGTTGGAAAGTCTGCCTGAATGTGCTGGGGCAGTCGGGGAAGCCACAGGCAGGGAAAGGGTTAAGCAGACTCCTGCTGCTTCTTCTGTGTAACCAGCCATCATGGCGAAACAGCTTCTCTGCTTTAAAAATAAAAATAAAGCTGTGCTAGTTTGTTTGTTTTTAAAAGCCTGTTTATTTGTAATGCACCATCAGGGATTTCTTGTAGTTTTTCTGTGAGAAATATAGTAGTGTGGAGCCAGGGTGAGGTGCAGACATGGAGTAGAGACAGACTGTAAATAGGTATGGACGAGGCAAGCAAGTGGTGCCATATACTGCAATGCAGAACATACAATTCCAGTTGGATGTGGAATCGAGCTTCATGTCTACATTCCCACTTCCCTGAATTCATGCCCTGTGAGTTAAGCAGAAGACCTTTTCAAAAGTTTCCTCTGCCCTGGCCCTTAAAATCCATTTTGGTGAGACTCCTAACAGTAGCACTGTTCGGTTACTCTGTGCCAAGGCTTTAATCCAACAAACCGCAAATGTTTTTAAATTCCTTTTTCATGCAGAGGAGAATTCTAGGGAGAAAGAGGCAGAGCTATATTTTTTATTCAAAAGGAAGTACTTGTTTCTACTACCATCATTTTCGAAGGATGTCACCCAGGAACAGTTCTCCATATTCTTTTCTTTATTGTGCCAAATAACTTGTGTATATGGGTTGTATCAGGTAAAGCTCTCCCACCAGCAGAATGGCTTTAGCCTGGGGAATTGGGAGGGTATCTGTTCTCCCTCCTCTCTGCAGTCCCCTGTGGCCCTCAAAATCTGCTCTGGAGGGTTGGGGCCTGTCTGGAGCAAATTTGGGGTGTGTCTGCGGTTGATTGTAGGAGGGTGGAGAGGAAGAGAAGGTCCTGTTGCACTTGGACCCATGTTAGCAGTTGGATCTCACCCTGTCCGATAAATGACACTCCCGGATAGCAGCATTCAGCGTTCATCTGATGTGATCAATAAATGTCTGTAAAGCATTCTGGGAGAAATTAGAAGAAAATAACTGTAGGTTGTCCTCATGTGCTTTCAGTAGATGCTGCTGTTCTTAGTGGAGGAGAAATGGGGGAACCCTCTATAGATGAAAGATGAGTGTGGAAAGTACAGGCTGCATGTACACTTTTGTGGTTTTGTAAAAGGAATGAAAACACTTGCTGCCATCAAGTCCTAATTTTATTGGGCTGTTTTTTCTTCTTGCAAGGTTTATGAGGAATTTGCATGGAGTAATCCTCTTCATCCGGATATATTTCCTGGTTTGAGGAAAATGGAAGCAGAGGTGGTGAGGATGGTTTGTACACTCTTCCATGGTGGGCCCAATTCTTGTGGAACAGTAAGTAACATGGCATGCTTTCCTGACATACTTTTGACCTCTTGTCTTTCTGCCAGTTGCAATAAATGCATTTATTGCACATTGAAGAATCCACGTCGGACAGTCCCGTACCCACAGTGACAAGCAGAGGAAATAGGTTCACAACTTATTCCGCTGATATGGGAAAAGTTGTGACAGCTGTGCTGTCAAACTGGTTATTTGCACAGTGAGCTCCTTTTATACAGCCTGTGCCACTGCAGGTAATTAAGGAATAGCCAAGCAAGACAGAGCATACCAGGTGGCTTAGTGACAACAGAGATTCCAGATTATTAATTGCTCGGTCTCTTGTCCAGGTTATGGGCCAGTTGCTGAACTGAAAGTCAACTGCTTGACATTTTCAGATAACTAACATCAAGAATTTGCCGATAATACAAAATTGCTCCTCTGTCAGTATCTGCATCTAGGGGAAGGTCTATGTAATAAATACATTGGGGTGTTGGAATAAATTAGCCAGTGATGATGGGAGTTGGTGTCCAGCAAATCTAGGCAACTCCGGATCGGAGAGGGCTGCTCTATGCATGCCAGTCTGTGCAACTAGTAACAGACTTAAACTTGGGCAACAATCATCCTCTTTCTCCAGGGAATTTTGTGAAGTTCAGTTTTGCCAGGGACAGAGGAGGCCAGGCTTCTCTGACAATCGGTCCCCTCAGCTTGCTACAATTCCCAGGGTTTGTTGAAGAATGCATTCTAATTCCATTGGTGAAGCCATAATAAATTAACTGGAACTGAATATATTATTTACATCGACCGATGTTTCTGTGCTTAACTATACCTTTCAGGCAGAAGGAACCCTTGTTTTTTGTCACGGGCTGTATTTTCTCGGGTGTAATATGTCGGGGTGGGAGAACCAATGTTGGATGGGACCCAAGCTGAAAGTATAGAGGGGTGGGCCTCGCTTTTCTCCTTCCATTCTGGCTACTGTCTTTCTGTCCTTCCTTCCTTTTGTTCCCTGCCGTGGGAGCTACCATGGTGCAGCGAGGGACTGATTGCTTCTGCCATTTGAGGAGGGGGGCTTTTGCAATTAGACTGCGGGTGCAGGTTGCCAATCCTCTGGCATCTTCAGGGTGCTGTGAAACAGGCAGGGGCAGAAATGGAAGTATAGGGCTCAGATTTAAGCACTAAGGCACCTGATTGCATCCAGCAGCATTTGAAGACTGCGAGGTGGCTCCTCTGGAGGAGGGGAGGAGGACTTTGATGTAACTGTTTCACTAGGTAGAGCATGTGTGCGTGTTTCTTTGTGATCAGTCGTTTCTGCTACCACCTCCCTTGTTACTCTGGCCAAGGAAGAAACTCTGGAGTTCCCAATTATATCTGCCAGTGAGAGGGAGCAATCAGAGAAAGCCCTTCTGCCACCTTGGCAGGACACCTTGCTTTCCTCTTACCTTCATAACCATCAGTAGGTAAGGTTAATCCAGACTAGTTAGGCCAGTGGGAAGAGGAGTCTCTCTTGAGCTCGCCCGAAACATGAACTCAAAGCCTCAGGTCCAGATAGAAACAAAATGTTTACTGGAATAATATATTAGCATAGTTCTGCCTCCCCAAGGAGTACAAAGAAGCAGATAGGTACTTGAAAATAAAACAAACATTAAGAAGTTTGTTAACCTACACTGAATGATTGTATACAGTGGAATGACTGTAGTCAACACACAGCATCTTTGGATGGCTGGAGGTGATAAAGCTGCCTCCCTTAATCTGCTTTCTACCTTGTTTCCCCAGCCAGCATAGTCTGTGATCAGGAAGTCTGGTAGTTACAGTCCATAAACACTTGGAAGGCACCATCTTGGGGAAGACTGAGAGGAAATGACAAGGAGACAGAGTAGAGGGATCTCAGTCCAATTTTGGAATGGGTAGCCAATGTACTAGGCTAAGCATCTAAGGTATACAAGTTTAGTCATTTAGTGACTGGCACGTAGCCAGGAAGAGTGGTCTCACTCTTTCGGTTTTAGGACAGGAGTAGGCAATGTGTCTACCAGATGATTGGAACTTTCATTCATATTATTGCTGACCATTAGCCTTGGTAGCTGAGGTTTAGGGACTTGTAGTCCAAAGTATGTGGAGATCACCAAGTTGCTGACCATTGGTCTAACTGGTGGGCTAGCAAGGTGTTTATTAAGTAGATGGCTTTGGCTGTCTCTGGTAAACTTGATGCATCAAAAGGCTTCTTGTTCAAGGGATCTGGAAGCCCAGGGAAAGTTATGTGATAGTCTTAAGTGAGTTATGGATACCAGCTGTCTTGGCCAATGATACTTTTAAAGAAATAGATACTGGGGGTAGCTCTGTATTACAAGATAATCTTCTGTGTCAGTGAACTGATGGTGGTGGTGTTGCTGTCCTGTTTACCGGCTGAGTTTGGGTTTTCCAATTAAGCAGAATAACTCAATTTTTCTGAACAATAACTTGGTATTCTATGTATGTTTTGGAGTCTTTTCTTTATAAACATTCATAGGATTGTATCCTCATTTTTTTCTGAGCCCAGCCTTCTCCAGCCTGTTGTCCTTGAGATATTTGGGACTATAACTCCCAGTATTCCTGGCTGTTGACCATGTCAGCTGGGAATTATGGGAGTTGAAATCCAGAACATCTGGAAGGCACCAGTCTGGGGAGGACTGTCTTTGCACTGTGTCATCTTAACTCATTAGTGCTACAGAACAAGTTTTACTGTAATAAAACTTTTGAAGGAATTCCGGTACCATTTATCTGACTCAGTTCTTACCTATGCAGTTTTTAATTGCTGAGTTTGAGAATGCTGAGCTTGTAAATACTGAGTTATTCTGCTTGACTTTTGGCCATGTGTAATGCGTCCCTTGCGTGTTGTAAGAATCAAGTAAATGCTTATGTACTATTGCAATATTGCAATTCCTTTTTGAATGGTTACAGCATGTATGCATTAAATATTACCACCCTTGTCAATAAATCTTCCTCCAGCATTTATTTTTGCTGTAAAATTCTTTCAACTAAAATTAGTATTTTTTGAAATTTGGATTGACATGTTCTTTAAATGGAAGTAGACTGCTGATACTTGAAAACAGAGCTACCCTTTTCTCTTTTTTTGAACGGCTTGATCTATCTCGGTATTCGGGCTTGGCGTAAGTTTATTCTGAGGCAGAATAAGCTTCCTTGGATCATCACAATAGAATTTTATCATTATAATACATGTAACACAGCCCTTCCCTTACCTGTATGTGGCACATCCTATTTATTTGAGTTATATTCCACTTTTTTCTTACTAACTCGAAGCTTAGATCATTCTCCTTCTACTGCCCTCAGTCTTATGCCCACAACAACCCTGTGAGGTAGGTTGGGCTTGAGAGTCTGTGACTGGCCCAAAGTCACCCAGTTGGCTCCATGGTCAAACTTACTTGCCACTTCCTCTGTGGCTGCTGCAGGAATGTTTGAAAGCCCACACTGTCTCATTTAGATATTACATCATGTTTTCAAGAACCAGGAAGGAGACAAGGATTAAAGTAAAAAAGAACTCTTACCCACATGCATATAATCCAAAAGGACAACAAAATTCAAAAGAAGAGTGTCCTGCCTTAGCATTTCTTTTCAACTTAAAGAAAATAATCATAATGGACACACTGTGAAGCAAACCATTTATGGAGATGATGCATTAAACATTTCCTTGGCTTTGGCTGTTGACACACAGCACTGAGCAATACTGTGACTGTCTTTGTGTATCGCATCCCAAGCTTCTCGTTTGTTAGTACAGAATATTAGTTGAACTATGCATGTCTAACAAGCTGGTCAGCTGCTTCTGAGTCACCTTGCTTTGTAGAAGAGGAAGCATCTTGTGCCAGTGATGCATGCAATCCCAAGTGGATAATGGCCCATGTTAGAAGGCAGTCAGCCAATTCTGTAGGCTTAATCATTTTAAGAACTGGTTAGAAAGAGCCTTAATTGAAACCTCTTAATGGAAGGGTGGCAGTTTGCTTTTCATTGTACCCCTGTTCGAGTCTCTATTGTGATACACAATTAGAACTTGAATAGAGGTAAGGTCACACGGAAACTGACCAAGCAATGTTGAGAAATGCATAGATGGGGTTGACCGAGTATTTTAAATGAGAGAATTTTGGTGGCGACTCTCATGTACTTCTTGCCATTTTAAATTTTGCATTGTGTCTCAAGATCAGCAGTTAAATCTTTAAAGTACAGAACTACCTTTTTTGCATACAATTCACACACAGACAGGTGGGAAATTTGGATTTGCTGAGGAAGATGGACGGGCAGGCAGAGTGAATGAACATCAGGCCAAGGAAAACAGTTGCTTAACAAATTTCTCATCCAGCTGTCTGAATAAATCTTAGTCTGTCATTCTTAGTCCACTTGAATGTTTCTGCTTGTTGCAGCCTGCTGACAGGCTTGTTTCTGAAACAGAAGGTCGCTGGGTCTTGTCTGGTTAGCAAAAGGCAGTTTCACAACTTCTCTTTTCAGCTGATGGGAACTGTAGTCCAAAACATCTGGACGACACCATGGTGTGGAAGGCAGCTAGAGAGGCTTGCAACACTGTTGGTGCAGAACAACCTCTTCCAACCTGGTGCCTGCCAGATATATTGGGAGTGCAACTCCCATCATTTCCAGCCGACATGGCCAATGGCATCAGGTTGGGAAAGGCCGGTTTAGGGAATTATTTGTATTGTCTGCAGCATGGGAATTTCTGAAATCCAGGGACAAAACCTCACAGAATTACAATATAACAATGTATTCTTGTTTGTTTGGCACTGACGTATGTTTGTTTTTCAATTCCTTCTCAACAGATGACCTCTGGTGGAACTGAAAGCATCATGTTGGCCTGTAAAGCCTACAGGGACTTGGCTTATGAAAAAGGCATCAAATACCCAGAAATGTATGTAGCGCAGTCTCTTGCTTTCCCACTGCCTGTGTTTCAATGCTGCAGTGTGTTGACTGTAATGAGAAGCATGGCCTTCCACCTCTGGTCTGCATGCCCCCCCTTTGCCTGGTGCAGCCACGGAGAGTTAAAAATCTTTCACTTTGTTTTTGTATCACTGCATACAGTGGTTATCTTTACTCAGATTGTCTTAAGACCAGGCAACTTTGAACAATAGTTTATGAGGCTGGTTTGTGTCAACAAAATGTACCTTGGGTTCAAATGCCACAACATCCTAATTTTTTTAAAAAATTGCGGGTTTCCATAAACAAGGCAGCTGGGTGTTGTCATCGATGGGGCAAGTGGGAGCATTAAACAATCCAAGAATGTTCTGTTTCCATCAAGGTAAAGAAGAAGCCCTGGCTTATTTAAGGGTTGTTTATTTGGCTTGTTGGGGAGAGACAAGCCAGAGGTCTGGGTTCATACACAATGCTAAAGAACCTCGGGGGAGCGTTCCTGAGTTGATTAGCAGTTCTTTCTTGCAGGCTGCCTTGTGTACTGCAGCTAAGGATTTTTAAAAAATCTGGTTTGTTGTGCTATGTGAACCAAGGCATAGTTAAGATTAGCCACAGTTAATATGCCCAACTGTAATTGATCTAAAAGAGAAGTGAGAGCTTCTGATCTCTTTATAATCATGCTAGAGGAGGAAAGGAGAGAGAGGGCCAGGAACATGATGGATTTATTTCTGTCATGATCAGTTACAGAGAGGGGTTGTTGGTATGCTTCCTTTTGCTCTGTTTCCACAAATCAGGGGTAATCCTAGGGTGATATTGCTTGTGCATCTATCATTTTGTTTCATGGTTTCAGTAATTTCATTATGCACACTTCCCTGTCCAAACAACCTTGCTTTTTCCTGCCTCAATCCCTGTTTTCAAAACAAACCCTACTTCTGACAGCTTTCAGAGGTGAGTGTTTGGGGAAAAGGGGTGGGTGAATGTGTCCAGCTCTCCAAGTACCTAGGAACTTCAGAATGGATGGAAAACTTGGGGTACTGAAACCTTTGGGATGGGGGTCTTCCCAGACTTAGCTTTTGAGCGCTGTTAGCACAAAGTAAAATTTTTTTTAATACCTGTTTAGAGCTACTTTGGATCAATGTCAAGGGTTAGTACCTGTTGCACTTTAACGGTGCCTTGCTCTGCTTCAGGACATTGCACAGGTGACTCTTCTTGACTTGGACCCAGGGAAGTGTGCAGCCTGCACTCTTGCAAGTCTAACTAGAAAAACTCAAACAAGCCAAACAGTGTACATTTGAAGCTTAATATTTTTTAAGGGATGGCCAAACAGAGCAGCATCTTCAGTGAGCTAATTGGCACTTCAGATGAGCTGTCACTGCTGGCTGCACAGGTGAAGAATGATGATAGCGTGCTGTTTCCCTTTCTCTACAGTGGGATGGGTCGCCTGAGTTTGGATGACGTAATGTGACAACCCACTGTGGGTAAAACAACTCCTAGAATAGCTCACGGGTTCTCAGGGTGGCTGCTTGGAAAAGAAAAACATGCTAATTTGTGAGAATGGTCTGGTTCAGATGACATGGGCATCCACCATGGCTAAGTTACCCATGATGTATTGTCCCGTGGTCTGAAGTAGGTCCGAGTGACAGATGGTTGTTCTCTGTATCTTTCAAAAAAGTTTAAAAAGCACAAGTCTGAGGTGTTCTTCGCTTGCCTTCGAAGATGTACATGTATCTAGGAAGACTTTTTATTTTCATGGTTTCATGGTCATGGTTAATCAACTCCTTTATAACAGCCCTGCATTTCAAAATGCTTGGGGCCAAGTCAAAACACCTGCCAGGAACATAGGCTGAGATGCGTAATTCTCTAGGTTTGGTGAGGACAGTAGGTCTCCACATGTTTTGGACTTCCCTGCACATTTGGCCATTGGCTGTGCTGGCAGGGACTTCTGCGAGTTGAATTCCAGAACAATTGGAGATCTGCCCTCTGCCCACCCCTCTCGGAGACTGTGGTATTAGTCGCTTCTCAGTAGGTCTCCCTTTTCTTATGGCTTCATGAATGCATACAGTACAGTAGAGGAGGGGGAGTTACAAGAACGGCATGAATTATGGGAAGCTGCAGGCCATTTTCTGAGATGGGTTGCTTTTTGTTTTTTTTTCCAGGTTGGTTCCGAAGAGTGTACATGCAGCATTTGATAAAGCTGCCCATTATTTCAGGATAAAGATTGTGCATATTCCATTGACTGAAACTATGGAAGTGGATGTTAAGGTATCACCCTGATATTTTCAGATGTCTGTCAGTGATGGAGACTGAACAAAATGAGGGGGTGTTAGTTTTGGAACAAATTTACTCCTTTGTGTGCTTTGTCTTTCATTCCTTAAAAGTTGAAAGTTTGTTATCTAGAGTATGTTGACTACTTAATAATGTCCTCTTATTATTTCAGGCAATGAGAAGAGCCATTTCCAAGAACACCGCCATGTTGGTGTGTTCAGCACCCCAGTTTCCTCATGGGGTCATAGATCCAGTTGAGGAGGTGGCGAAGGTAAATTTTCCTGGTGTTGCTTTCACACAGCGCTGCTATGCTTACATTCTTGAACGTCATATTCATTTGAGGTCATCATTGCTGACAGAAGGAGGGATAGAAGGTTATCCCCCCCCCCCCTTCATGTTATATGCATTTATCTAGTCTTCCACACTGCAGCAGGTGTCCATGAATACTCAGTGAAGAATACTTAATGAAGAATACTTCATTAATAAAGACAGGTAGAGTAGTTACAAAGGAAGACCGTTTGATGGTAGATTTTGACGTAGCTGGACACAGACCTCATTCTTTAGAATGTGGTTGCAAGCACATTCTGTTATTCTATTACTGCTCTTCTTGTGGGCTTACATCTTGCCATTGTTGGTTCTTGCTGTGACTTAGGTTTGCTTTTACCTAGTCCTTGTCCAAATTGTGTCTCTCCTCCTGATATTTGTCGGTCCCAAACTAAATGAGGGTTAGTTACCCAAAAGTAAAGAAAAATTAAGGTTCAGCTACACTGTGCAATTAATGTAACACATACTTTGACTGTATGTGCATCAGTTATGTCTGAGAACCTATCCTTTTAAAAATGAGCCTGTACATGTTTGTGCACAAATTTATGCATTAAACATGCTCTTATTTCTTTGTCTCACCATTCTTTGATTTATTGTTCTAGGGATTTGAGCAGTTCTGGTTTCAAATCCTAGCCAAGTCCTCCCTGGGCCATGGGAATCAAGCCATACTTTAGTAGGTCATGCCCCACATTCATTCTCCAACATCTCCAGGTAGGGCTAGGAAAAGGGCCAGTCTGAAACCCTAGTAAGCTGCTGTCACTGTAAATTCTAGACAGACAAATTTGTCTGACTTACAGGGTAGCTTCTTTTGCTCCATAGTGCTTAATATCATGCAGCATAAATACCAAACTTTCCCCATCCATTTTATTATGAATTTTAATGAATCAGAACATGATCAAATAAAAAATAAAAATAACCCCCCATAAAAACAAATTATTTGTTTAATTATTACAACTTTCTAGTATAAAGTTAGAAACCTATTGCAGTAGATTTGTATGCAATATATTTCCCTATATATGTTATATGTGACAAAGGTAAGCTGTTATTCTTGGGCATAATGATGCATAAACTTCAACACAGGCAGGCCAGGTGCCCATGTATTTGTCCATTTGTAGATTATACCTATGGACCAGCTGTTCAAAAACTGAAAGCATAATTAAGTCCTTAATCCATTGTATTATCATAGCCATTTTTCCATGGCCATTTTTCCTTCTAGTGTTGTGATATTCCTCTTCTAACTCTCAAAAGGACATAGAGAATCCATTTATGTTGACCTTGCATTAAGTTCCAAGAAAAAAATCTATGGAATGTGCTCCCCAGAGAGGTCCGCCTGGCACCGTCGTTATTTGTTTTTCGGCACCAGGCAAAGACCTTTTTATCCAAATGTTATTTTAATTGTTAATATTATTTATTCATTTTATTCTTTGGCCAGGGCGACTTAATTTATATTGTTAATTTATATTGTTAATTTATATTATTCTATCTTGAAGTTTATTTATGGTTGTGAGCCACCCCGAGGCTTCGGCGAATGGGGCGGCATAGAAGTCTCCTAAATAAACAAACAAACAAATAAATAAAACAAATAACAGAAAGAACATGCACAAGCATAAATATTTCAGAGTGTTCTGCCTGAGTTTATCCATATTATTGCTTCCTCCCCAAAAGAAGTGGTCGTTTGGCATTGCAAATAGATAAATAGATTATTTGGCTGATATAGATAAACCCTTATTAAAAACACATTGCAGCATCCTGAAACATTTCTTGTTGAATTAGATATAAGAGCCATTAACACCTATGAAATAGATGCCACTGCAGCAATCCATCAATTGGACAGGATAGGAGATCTAATTTATCATTCCGTGCTTGCATATAATCCTGCATATCATATTTATTCACAATAAGGTATCTTTATGAACCTGCCATAGAGGTTAAGATAGTTGTTCAGCCTTAATCAAAATTTCCAATAAGAGAGGGACACCTGAAGCTGTAAAAGCATCAGGGCAAAATCTGAATTTAGGCAAATGTTTCAATTGTACAAATTGCCATTAAACCATGACTGACAAATCACATCTAGAATGCAAAGCAGATAATGGCATAAAATACATAGTATTGAGACCTCCTAACTGATCCAGAGTAGACTGACTGGGGGGACGCCTGATCTGAGTAGAAAAGTCCAGCACTCACTGCTAGGTGACAGATAGACCTGATGATATAAAACAAGTTCAGGAAAGCCAAATCCACCCTCTTTCACTGGAAGTTGAATCCTTTTCAAAGATGTTTGTGGCAGGATGGAATTCTTTGAAACTTGCAAAATAAAGCAGTAAGTTAACATAAAGACCGTGTCTGACATGACCAAGTATTCAGTAACAATAGGAGCAGTCTTGACTTTGCTGGAGGAAGAAGGCAGGGGAAAAATGTGAGCAGTTCTGGACTTGAAGCATCCTTATTACTGAAGTGGGTGCTACTTTGCCTCATTAGTGGACAACAGTTTGGACTCTGAAAATAAAAGGACTTGATAGCTCAGTTAACAAAATACTAAGCCACTGGTAAGGGCCTCCCTGCTTGTAACTCCAGAGACCCACAACGTATTGGATAGAGTAAAAATACCCAAAATAAACAAACAAACTCACAGCTTGAGATGGTGCATTCTTTTAGGGAAAAAGGTGTGGACTTTTCTAAATATGGAAATGTAAAATGCATTTTTTACTTTGAGACTCAAGTTCTGTCTCAAAGTATATAATGAGTCTCTTGTGCTGCTTTAGTTTGGCCTCCTTGCCTGATGCCTTCCAATACAGTCTCGTGCCTGGGCTAGCTGGGGATGGTGGGAGTTGTAGTTGAGCACATCTGGAATCACCAGGTTGGGGAAGAATGGCCTAGCTTGAACAAACTTAACTGGTGAATTTCCTCATCTTGACACAGCTTGCAGTGAAATATAAGATTCCGCTCCATGTGGATGCCTGTCTAGGTGGCTTTCTTATTGGCTTTATGGAGCGTGCTGGCTTCCCTCTACAGCATCACTTTGATTTCCGAGTGGATGGTGTCACCAGCATTTCTGCGGATACCCACAAGGTAAGTCAAAAGCACATCAGCATGGGACATCAGCATGGCAGAGGCCTTGAGTGAATCTGTGCATTCTCTAAACAGGATCAGATGTCTGTCATTTAACTCTGCTTCCACATGGAATCTCTTTATGCTACCTCTGGGTGGGCAAGATGGTTAATGCACTTAGAACCGATGGGAACAACTTCTTGGGAAACAGATGTAGGTTCAAGGTGTAAGGATAAAGGCAGATTTACCTGCAGTAGATTTTCCACATAACTGAGAGTTCCAGAAAGAAAGGAATGAATGTGAATAGAATGCATATGGTTCCCAGATTTGGCAATCGTCCATGGTTTTGGCAGTTTGATCTCTATGCTCTTGAAATATCCTCACTTTGAAAAATACATTCTATATACCTCTTAATAGTCAGTGGCTGAAAGTCTTTGTAAATACAGTTTTACTATTTTGTTCAGTCACTGTGTAATTATTAAGTTTGCAGTTCTGCCCTGGGGCTCCCAACAGATGAGGTTTGAATTTGTCAGTAGAATTCAAGATTTGTGTGATGCTTGTGTTTGGATTTATATAGGGAAGTATTCAGTACTCCTGCTGTGTCTCTGGTCCTTCTCATGTGCAAAGGAGTGGAAATGTTCATTTCTGGAATGGGACTGGTCAGTGGAAGTTCCCTCTGTAAGTTTAGTTGATCTGCTCCATCCTGGAAAGAGACATTTCTAATTGCCTTGAGAGCTACTTGCTTCCCTTTTTGCTAGCGGTGCACTCCACTAGCTTGCAGGCAACATTGGAGATTCTCCCTGAACAGCCACTTCTACTTTTCTACTGGAATTTCCACCTCCTTCTTTGCAGTATGGCTATGCTCCAAAAGGCTCCTCTGTGGTATTGTACAGCGACACAAAATACCGGCAGTACCAGTTTTTTATCGCTCCTGACTGGGAAGGTGGGATCTATGCTTCCCCGACATTAGCTGGTTCCAGGCCTGGTGGCCTTATTGCAGCTTGCTGGGCGACGATGATGCACATAGGAGAAAATGGTTACGTGGAGGCCACTAAGAAAATAATTTCAACAGCACGGTACCTTGAATCAGAGTACGTAGAAGGTTTTAACTTTTGCTTCAGCCTCACTTACGAGTTGTTTTGCAATATGTGGACCCAAAGAAGTCCAGATCCGAGAGACCATAAACACATACTACGGGACGGGGGTGTTATTTTTTAATTAATTTACTTTAAAAGTTAAGGTCTTTATAGGCTGTTGTTAAGGTGAAACTCACAAAGTGCTTTTTGTTCAAATAAAACAACAAATATCAATTGCAACTGTGTAACAAAGCAGTAAAGTTGGGCTGCAGGAGTGGAGTGGGGGATCCTCTTAAAAAGCTCTTCTCTCGGGGTGCAGAGTTTCTTGAGTAGCCCTGCAATGGTAGTCAGAGAAGAGGCAGGAGGGGAAAGACAACCTCAGCTGGAACTCTAGGGATTAGAACTCGCTGCCCCAGCCTGGTGCCCTCCTGGTTTGTTGGGTCTGCAGCTCCCATCACTGTCAGCCAGCATGGCCAGTGAGTGGCAGTCCCAACACATCTGAAGGGTGAGAGGCGGGAGTCGGCCGAGCTGGGTGGCAGCCTGCTGATCAGGCCCTTCTCTGGGCCAGAGGCTTCTTACCAGAAAGATAACAGATTGGAACTCCCTTCAAAAAGAGCCCAGAGGTAGCATCCTAGTTAAAAGCCCAGTCCCTTTCCGTCATCTGCTCATTCCATCATCTGCTTCTGGATGGAATTGGCTTTTGTTTCAGAGATGTGTGCAAATTCCTTTCCTCTTGCGCAGGTGCGTACTAACATAAGTGCGTATTATCACAAGTGATGGGACTTTGTTCTGTTTGAAAATGCATAGGATTTTGCCCAAAATTAATTGCAGTTAATTAATAATTACTGTCTGCCACCATATCTGCTAAGATGTCATCAAGGTGATCGATGCACAAGTTAAAGCAATAGGACCATGCAAACAATACACATGAGAACATGAAAACAAATATAGACAAGAACAGTTACACATTTTAAAAGGCTGACTTGAAAAGATGCTGTTCTTTCACCCTTTCTAAACAACAGGAAAGTGGGGGCAGGCGTAAACAATGCCTTAGTGAGAATACAACCGTTTTGAAAATACATATGCACTGGATCTTCTACTGAGGGTTAAATCATGAGGATTGACCAGTGAATATGATGCAATAGTTATTTCAGAGCAGTTTACGGTTGACTCAGAGGTTCTGTCCAGTTATTTTTCAGTTTGTGTGGACTTGGAAAAAGTCAACATTCTAGATGTAAACCTCATTTGTGCTTTTTCCTTGTCAGTCCTGAATTGTAAAATCAGTTAAAACTGGGTTTGGGCTTCAGTTGCAAAGGAGGTAAATAATTTAATTGTATTTTTTATGAATGTTGTGAGCCGCCCCGAGGCTTTGTTTGCGATGGGGGCAGCATAGAAATGTTTTAAATACATACAGACATACATACTTCTTTGAGAAAAGTGGACACCAAGCAGTGCTTAACAAAGCTGTTGCAAAACGCCCAAAATTTCCTTGTGCACCCTCTCCAATTTGAATAATTTTTCACCACATTTCTGTATTGCCTTTTCAGAATTAAGCACTTGGAAAATGGGGCAAACTAGCTTTTCTTGGATGATGTTATTTTGATCCTTTCCAATCTGATTCCTGGGGCAGAAACTTCCTT